ATCTATGAACATCTCTCCAGTTGTAACCCACAGGGATATGCAGATCGAGTTTAACGGTGCACAAAATGTGATTTCTGCATAAATTTGTCACAAAATGTGATCTGATCTTCAGTTAAGTCGAGACTAAATTGAAATGTCTGCGTAAACAGATGAGACATAAAGAGAGGCATATTTTCATGCCTTTAACGAACAGTGTACACATTCACAGAGTACAGTGTGGATAAGTACAGTATGCAAATCTCTAGGGTAATGTCTTTCGCAAAAGCTAATTGGAGTCAGCTAACCTAGAGTTCAAACAATAAAACAAAGTTGCAGCTGTTGGTCACATGCTTTCTCCCGAAACTTTAATGAAAATGAAATGATGGAAAAACTAAGGGGATAGTTCACCCAAAATAACCTCTGCTGTCATAACAAACCCATAAGACGTTTGTTTATCTTTGAAACCCAAATGAAGATATTTAATTTATCTAGATTTAATTTAGAGTTGTTCAAATATAAACATCGATCAACACCTATTTAAGCACAGATTGTGAAGGTCGACCGATTGATCGGTTTTGCCGATTACTCGGCACAGTGATTGTTCCAGAAGAATTATAACATTCATATTTTTTATATTTAAAAGAAGCAGTACGTTTTGATGGTTCAGTACTGTGTTTTTTTTTTATTTTTGTAATAAAGTTCAACACTATTTTATGTGTTGTGTTTGTTTTCATTCAGTATCCATTTTAAAAACTATCAGTTGGGTAATCTGTTATTGGCCAGCATAGGCCAACCTAGTTATCGGAAAAATACACTATCGGTCGACCTCTAAATCATGAATGGAAAATACTCTAACATACCTGCTTGGAAGTACAAGAACGCACTTCATTGGTTTATTAGCTTTCATGTACCTTCCATTACTTTTACATTGTCTTTATGAATTTTTCATAGAATGGACTTTCATTGGAGGGGCTTTCTAATTATTTTTGGATCCCAAATCAGAAATGTTCAAATGTATCACAAAGAAAAATACAGAGGAAAGAAATACTAAAAAGTGGACATTTTCATGAATCCATAATAAAAAGGCATTTGGGAATATTAAGAATCAATATCAGATCAGATCAATTTAAATGAAGATTGCATTTACAAATATTTACATTTTTCTACAGTTCTACATCAATCCCAGAGAGATAAAACTCCTCTCATCCCCTCAGGCTCAACTTCTACAGTCTAAACTTAAATCAAATCAAAACCAGGGGAGGGGGGAAATGACAGCTCTCCAATTGGGTAAGAGAGTCATCGATCACGACGGCCCATGTCATTACCGTGACAGCTGCGCTCAGCAATTCAGCTCATATTCTGTTTAAACAGAGTTCATAGGGGGATGAGGAGCACAGAGGGCCCGTTGCACAATACACCTAATTCTATACAGTAATGCTCTCATCTCTCTCTCTCTCTCTCTCTCTCTACCTGTTCTCCAATCAATGCCATTCAATCTCAATCAAGTCTTTTATATTATACCCCATTCAGTGGATGGGTTATTGGCATTTCTCATAGTATAGACAAAGAGAAAAAAAGTATATTATAAAGAACAGCAGTCAGCTCTCAGTCTACTCATGCAGTAACAAAGTCTTTCTTATTATTTGAGATCCAAAGTTAATAACCACAGGTTGTCAAAGGCGCACACACACACACACACACACACACACAAACTGAAGCGGAGTGAATAAGATCTAGGAACAGACAGGCAGCTGATGACACAGGTTGACAAAAAATAAGTGATGCAATCTCTACTGAGCAAACAAAATCAAATCAAGATAGTCTTTTTGTGTCTCTCTTATAAAACGTAGACCTCGGGCATGCACATAGCTGAGCCAGCTGCATATTCTCACTGACACAGATGATATACGGGAAGACGATTTCGATATATCTAAATATGTTTAATGGAAGGTAAAACTTCCGAAATCTCCGTGTAAACAATGCGTGACGTAGATGCGCGAGAGATCACTTGCGGCGTAACGTCTGGAGACGGTTCAGTTCGGTTCAGTTGGACATCTGATTCATATCAGTTCGACGGCTGTTAACAAGAGGTAAAAACTATATAAATACCGTCCGTTTTCTCACACAAACCGCTCGTTTCGTGTCTTAGGCCATCAATGTGTACTTACATTCATGAGTCATTAAATCATGTTTAATTTTGACTTCTCTGTGCATGCTCTTTGAGGTGAACCGAGGGAGGACTCCCTTAACGTCCAGTGTATGACTGACAGACAACAACGGTTTGACCAAAAAATGTCAAAATTGAAAATGCTGTGGAAACAAAGACACCTACATCTTGGATGCCCTTGAGGTAAGCTAAAACATATCAAAAATTCATTTCAAAGTGAACTATCCCTTTAAAACATTTTGCCTTACAGACAACAAAACATATAAAAGAAAGTATAAGCCCAAAGTAGGGCTGGGTGAGGATGAAAATCTGTATTTCATCATTTTAAATTCGTTATTAAAAATAAGAACAAAAAAAAAAAACATACAATATAATATACAAATGAAATAAACAGTGCTTTAATTTTTTCCAGCTACAGTATTTAACATGCATTCGAGAAAAAAAATTGAATAAATAACCATAAAAAATAAAACTACATACCTGTAGACTTCACTATATAAATAAATATTGATGATTCTTATTAAAGCTACTGAAGGTTTTCAGTGATAAGCAATAAGTGATTTATTTTGATTAAAATTAAAAGATACAATGTGTACTTTATATATTTTATTATTTAAAATCAAAATTTTTATTCATAAATATGTCCTCAATGGTATGCAAATACATCTGCCAATTATCTGATCCTCGTAAACAAAGAATTTATTATCTTTATATATACATGGGATGGGTAAGTCCTTGGAGGCTTCCACGTAGTTCCGCCATCTTGAAAAACTATAATAGCAGAGAGGGACAAAAAGTATTAGGCCAACGCATTTCCGTTTTTTTTTTTTTCAGAGCCAGCGTGACGTGACTGAAAGCAGCAGAAGCGGAGGAGCAGAGCAGCGAGAGGCTCTTGTCACTGCCCCGGCAAGTTCCAAAGGCTGCATTGCAAATCCTTGTCGCCAGAAAAGTCGTAAAAGGAAATGTGACTGGAGATTAAAAAATACAAGTTAATGTCGGGATAGCTTTTTCCAGGTGGATAGAGCTAATGCAGGAGAAAGATTTCAAAAGAGACGCTGAAGTCCTGCTTTCTTCTCGACAGATAAGGCAATGTTACAGTCTTAATTACAAGTTGTTGTTGTTTTTTTTGATTGTTTGGTTGTGTACTTTATTTTATAGACAGAATAGCATTTATAGTTAAAAGTTGATGATATCTAAAAATGCACATACTTCAGAAAATATAATGAATAAACAAGGCATAACTACTTACTACATTAAGTATGTTTTTCAGTGTCAGTAATTCACACTGTAACATTCATTTGTTCGTTTACAAGTTGCCTTTTTTTGAAATAACAAACCTGTTCACCTGAAGGAACACTAATCCTGTCATAGCTTTTTGGCACATAATGGCTACCGTAGATGCAACGCGCATTTGAAAAAGCGAAGCGCTGGAGAGCACAATTCGTTTAAATGCAAAACACATTTTCACCACAAGATGGCAGAAATTCCTACACAATGTCCTTTTAATGACAAGCGACAGCACGTATATTAGCCCATATTATGAGATGAGAAAAATAACTTTTTTTGACAGGCTTTTAGTGTGCATGTGTGCTTATAAAATGTTTTACAAAGCATGCAAATAATACATTGCGAAGAACTGCCATGTCACGTGAGTGTAAACGTGATGTAAATATATGTTGCATTACAGTTGGGACAGGGGCTACTCACCACAACTGCAACTGACAGAATGTGTACTTATACTATATTTCTTCAAAAACAGATTGTGGAGACATTTTAATTGTTTACAATCTAAAATTGCGAAATTGCACATCCCCATGCTAGAGGATGCCATATAAGACCTGGAGAGCTTGTATTCTCTAAGGAGGTCTGGCCCATAACCTGCCCTTGGAAGTGTGCATGTGCTTTCAGACACACATAAACTCGTCTTGGTTCTGGGGTCAATTACATTTAAATTTGATCAGCTCAAGAAGTGCACTGAGTACACAATTCAAACACACGCAAACTAAGTAGATTTAAAGAAAAGCCCAGTTTGGCTAAGTGAAATGTGACTTTCTGAGCCCTCCGTGTAAGCGTTAAGTGTTTCTGCAGATCAGTCACAGTGAGGTTTGGAAAGCTGCTCTGCAGGACTGGCAGCAAACACTTGAGTGAGTTTCATTTACTGTAGTGGAATTAAGACTGTTACCATGCCGACAAGCTGCTCGGAAGTGAGAGATGAAGACCATTTTGATAAGGGCTGCTAATGAATACATTTGATAAAAAATGAGTGCTATACACAATTCAAACTATTACTTATTAAAGATTTTTGAGATTTCTTGAGATTCTTTTTACTGTCATGTATAAAAATACAACGACATTATTAACTGTATACGTTAATATAATGAAACAAACAATTGTGTTTTACATTTTTGTACAATGACAATAAAAGGAATCTCTCTTAAAAAAAATCTCTTTTTCACAGAAATTTCACACACACACAAAAAAAGTTCTCATTTGCACCAATACCTGGAAATAATTTAACTATGAATTATTTATAATTTTCAAATCATTTGAACTTTTAAGATGATCACAAATGTTTTTATTTAATTTTGTTAGCTGATAACTTACCACTTACGAGAATTACATTCTTATCATACAGGGTATATTGTTATCATATCATATCATCCATATTGTTGAACCATAGGAAACCATCTCATTCACAAAATAAAATGAATAAATTAATTAACAAACATATGCCAACTATCCATAGCTGGTGGTTTTTATGTCTTTTAAACCTTGAATTCCAAAAAAATAAAAAATAAATTCTGGATTATTTTTGTGATCAGGTCAAAGAACAAGCAACGAAAACAACACTTACTTCTCTCAGCTGCAGCTGGTCATAAGAGAGCTTGTTAAATCAGTCAGTGTAAGTTGATTTATCCTTGGTAGAAGTGTGTGAATCTCAGCTTGTGTTCAGACACCTGTAATGAGGACAGAGAGGACATGCGGTGAGGTTTTGATAGATGACTCCCGCGCAGTTGCGTCACTTTTGCAGTCAATATTTGCTCGTTCTCATTTGTGAGGTGTCTGGTCTCAGATGGTTCACTTTTCTCTCCAAGACTATGATCTAAACACCATTGAATTGTTTTGTGTGTGCACATGTATTGACAAACCATGCAGAGATAAGAACATATCCCTTAATCAATTACAGTCCACTAATACTCAAATACAGATAGGAGAGAGGTCCAGAAAAAGAAAAAAAAACCTTGAAAAAAAGGTTACAAAGTAAAGCCTTTCAATGACTCTAATGGGAGATTTGAATAATTCTAATCTATTTGAGATTTAAGCACACATTGCTATCTGTGTTTAAACTTATTTAAGCCTTGTCAGTTTAAACATTCAAGCACAAGACGACACAAAACCTGAAGCGAGCACACGGGCATTGAGTTCTGCATGTTTTTAATGATAATCAAATCTGAATAGCTTTTGTAATTGTAATAATGATTAATCTTTATTTAATTTATACAGTGAAGAATTTAATGCAATGTTATATTAAATTGGATTACTTCAAAAATTAAATTTCTGAAAACTATTGTTAGATACCAGAAAAACCTGAAAAGCACTGTTTATTTCATTTGTATCTTTGCTCCATTATTTTCTTTATTTTTATTTGACAGTAGTCCTCTTTTCTCTGAACACTGCAAACCTAACTAACCTTACCGAAAACCTAAAGCCATGATAAAAACAGAACCATGAGTAATTTGAACTGTTACACCTCTTTACATAGCACAGTAGTTTCTGTTTGGAACCAAAAATCATAATATAGGAATTAAGTTTTATTAAGCAAAAACTGTTTGGTTTCTAGATGACTAGTCGACCATCCTGATCCATAAATACACACATTTACACAGAAAGTGACACACTTGTCTCTCACATAAACTGGACCCAAAATAGAATTTTTACATAAACTTTGTGAACATAAATACAATTATGAAATTATATATGAAAGAATGATTTAGAGTCAGATCTGGCCAACGAAAACAAGTAGACCTCATGGTGATCTTGACTACAACCAGCATGTATCTGCTGTCAATGAGTGTATTTCTGCTGGAGCTTTACTCTTTGGCTGGTAATGCACGACAGGAGGCCAAGAGAGAAAACAAGGACATGTGTAGAGTGTGAGATACTGTGAAAAAACGTGTACGTGTGTGTGTGTGTGTGTGTGCGGGCGAGAGAGAGAGAGAGAGAGAGAGAGAGAAAGGAGGGCAGTCAGAAGAAGACAAAAGAGGAAGTACACAGGAAGAAGCCTTTGTTCTTGCTGATGCAGATTGAGAGTTTAATGTTTAATGAATCTCACAAACACAGAAGATCTCTCAGAGGACCACTAGAGGGAACCTTAACTAGGATGTCAACTACTAACACGCCTTCACACGGTAGTAAAGATGGGTCACACTAGCCACGTTTCCACTGTCGGGCAAAAAAGCAGGTGTGCTAAAGCCAACTGTATTTCCACTGTCACTTCCGGAGTTTGAACGGGCCTCAATGGGGCCAACGGCCAGGATTTTTGGCCTGCCAAACAGCTTGGTCCAAAGTGGACCAGTTCGAGCTTGAGGAGTGGCTACGATCATGATCACTGGCGAGACACGGCAGGCAAAATCATAGTTTTTTTTTGTTTCTGTTCAGTTTTGAGATTTTGGGATATTTGTCTTCAATAACATGTCTTCTTGCAGACTTGTGGTGTATAAAAGCCCGAAATATACATTTAGGTCTTTATTTTTTTTTAACGACACTTTGTTTGTTTATCAGAAGTTGGCGATCTAAATCATCTCTCCTGTACAATGTTGTCGGATCCAAATAGGGCTGGGCGATAAAACGATAACGATAATTATCAGGATATAATTTTTCTCGATAAAACGATATCAAGAGGTCGATAAATGTTCGATAATGTTTATGCGCCAAAAGCGGAACGAAACTCATTTGAACTGCGCGCGCCACATGGAGCATTTATCTGCTCGGAATATGTAGATCTGCCCATTATGGACATGGACTATTGACAATCTGATATTAAATAAGAGGGATGTCATTGACCCGACCACAAAAAAACAAACAAAAAAACCCCCCAAAACATTTAAACCAAACAATTACAAATATGACATGTATAGTTAAACAGCACTCAACTCATCTCTCCTTCACACACACACGCACACATACACACAGAAAACAACCTCTGCCCAGTGTCAAGGTCCCAGTGAGAGCCATGTTCCACTCTCCACTGACTAATTCAATATTGATAAAGAAACTAAACAAAGCATGACTATCAGCACAGTAGGATTCCCAGTACCAACAGTGAACACTCTCTCAACTCTACCCTCCCTCTACGTGACTCTTCTCCACATTTATTTCACTGTTTCCTCCACATTCCTTGGCTTTCACCAGTTATATTAAACAGACTTAAGGCTATTCTCAGATTATCATAAAACCACACAACACAATTTTTTATGTATATTACAGTATGAAGAGGGACAGTCTTGGTGTTTAAGACATTTTAACCAGAAATCGAATTGAAAATGCCATTTTTTTTTTCCTTTTAACAACTGGACACAAATTTACTGAATTAAACAATATTTTATAATATTGACGTCATTGTATGCAGAACACTAGTATTTCATTCTGAACAATCTGATTCATCCCTCTACACATTCTTTGCCCTATCCCACCCCAACACAAACTCCTCTCATCTCAGTCTATAGTTCATGCAGGGTGCTAATTGATTGGCTTAAATCCCTTAGCTTGTAGACAGTGTGCTGATTGGCTGAGTGTTTGACAGCAATGGAGACCCTTATGTCAGCCTGTAACACCTCTGCATCATCAGGCAGGAACAGGACAAACTCCATCTACCCCCTCATTATGCAGTTTTACACTGACTGCCAGTTTGCACATGCAAAAGCAAACAAAAGCCCACAGAGATCTAAAATGACCTTTCAAAGAAACCCAGCTCTCATTTCTCCATCACTGCACCATCAAACCAGCAGCAGCGGTGTGTGTGTGACAGAGTGGTTGGGATGGTATGCTTAACAGCATATGGATGGGTGTGACTCATCGCTCCAGCAGGGAATCGTGAGAGAGTGGTGCTACATTGACAACGGTCAATATGCAAAGGAAGATTAGAAAATGATCATATTGAAGATTGTGCAGGGCTGTGCTCCTGTAGCAACGCTCATAATCAAGGGCAGGTTTCACAAATAAAAGATGAGTGTAGGGAGGAGCGATGTAATAAATGAAATGTGGTTTTAAGATGCTGCAATCCCAGTGACATTTCATTAGCCAAAGAGCTGCTTCAAATTTGTGAGCTGCACGGGTGAGAATGGCACAGAGCCGGGGGCGTAGCATAACATGACTGCCAATCTGATGACAGTGAATGACTTAATTATACCTGAAACCAAGCCATGAGAAAGAGAAACGCAGAAGAGAGCAACATAGTTATCACAAATCTTATCACAAATCAGCTCTGTGTGTCAGGGTGAAGGAAGAGACAATAAAGCCCACTCAGAAAACACTTTAAATTCATCAGTGTGATATGTGAAAGTGAAAGAAATGATTAGTTTGAATCCTATAATAAAAAGGCTGATTGAATGGCCTCACTACAGCACAGATATAGCCGACGGAGCTCTCCCTGAACAACCACTCAACCTATCTCAAAAGGCATTTCCTCATCTCAGCTACACAGAGAAGATAAAGCAGAGGAGCGAACCTGTTGTCATATACTGTCACTCTCTTCAGCATTGGACACAGCTCCAAGACATTCAAAAGCACATAAGTCAAAATGAAGATTCATCCATTTATCATCCAAACTGCTTGTCATATGTCCTTGTCCTATAAATAATGGACAAATGGAGTCTTTGGATGCCTCAGATGTAAAGTTATTTGCTGTCAAAGTGACGCCAAAATGTATGGTAGTCAATGGAATGCTAACCATAGACAGTAAAAGAAATGGACACAGCAACCCCATTGATTTCAACGGAGAAGACTGAAACGTGATTATTGCGACTGCGGAGGCTCAAACTGAGCTTGACGACAGTCTGACCGTTGTAAATCTTCTAGTAGCTGTGCCAAGACAAATCTGAAATCACCTAATTCCTCAAAAACGTTGTTGAAATATTTTGTCCCGTAGCTTTAGGGATTCTTTATATATGGGCTTCTCCCTTGACTTTATGCCTCCATGTCCACCTGATTGCCTCATAGACAGTATAAGATTGACTGCGAGCTTCTCCTCCTGTCAATACGGTAATGTCTCTATTGTGCGACAGAAAGTTGTGTGGTTATGACACAATAGTTGTCTTTCGTATGAAATACAATTTTATTACAATCCTAAGTTATGAGTAGCTACTGTTTACTGTAGACTATCATTTTTATTTTTAAAATTGTGTGAAAAGTAAAAATTATCATCAAATATTCATCTTTGACTTATCAAAGCACACCTTCCCTTAGTGACTGAAACTTGCAGTAATTCTTGATCGGCTGGCTGACCGTACAAATATTCATAGTTAGCATTTATAAAAGGAAAAATTACATTATAACACATGAAAATTTACCTTTTGTAAAAAAAACAAAAAACAAACAACAAACTTGAGTCTGCACATGCGCATAACCAGTAAGTGGCAAATCTCGATGGGTAACATGAATCGTCAGAACACTGATTCATGCTTCCCGTTCTGACGATTCATACTACCCATCGACCACCCTGAGGTCTATGTGGGTCATAACACCCCAGTATAATGATGGGGACACTATACTCTCAAAGAGCACCGTCCTTCGGATGAGACGTTAAACCGAGGTCCTAACTCTCTGTGGTCATTAAAAATCCCAGGATGTCTTTTGAAAAAGAGTAGGGGAGTAATCCCAGCATCCTGGCCAAATTTGCCCCTTGCCCTCTATCCATCATGGCCTCCTAATCATCCCTATATAACTAATTGTCTTCATC